AAGGCCATGTCCGTAGCCTGGTAGCCAGAGTTTTGCTGCTGTCCTTGAGTCTGCAAGCTAATGACTGTGTGAGTCTGTGAGGAGTGAGGTGGAGGCCTGTGAACGGTCAAGTCGCCCTGCGCTCCTCCAGCCATCTGGATGGGAACTAAAGTGACGGGAACGCACACGTTTGTAGGAGCGGGGCTGGTTTGGTGGCTCGACTTGGGCTCGGCATGGTACGTCTTTGAGCTTTCCTCAAAAGTAACCGACACTATTTTTTCTTCACCGATCGAGCTGAGGGGCTGCTCGGCAAAGCGCGTGCTGTGCACGTGGTCGACGTGGTACTTGAGCTTGTCTTTTCTTTTAAAAGTGGCGCTGCAGTGGGGACAGTTAAAGGGACGGACGTCTGAGTGAATCACCATGTGCTTCGTCAAAGTCTTCTTGATCCGAAATGTCTGATGGCACTCGGGACATCTGTGCGGTTTCTCACCTGTTACACATAACACAGAAAGACAGACATTCACGTCTACGGCACCTTTAATTTGAATAATAATAATCATCTTCTGTCCTGATGGACCCTGCATCAGAACACTGACTGTCGGGCTTTCAAGACCCCCGACTGTTTGTAGAGGTGTCTTTTGTTATCACTTCTCCAAACCCAAAAAGTCTTTATTTTATGGTTCTTCTAAATGTTGTCTACTCGACACAGCTCATACAAATGAACTGTTAAACAACGAATGCACAGCTGTCAGCAGCAGTTAGTGGTCTTGTTATAGTTTCTGCATCCAGGAGTCTGCTCAGATCTGTTTGTGTCAAAGTGACTTAAGTTTTATCATGAGACGGTGAGCGTGGAGCTTAAAGACACATCCACGGGGCTTAAAGTGAGATTCAAAGAAGTATAACAAGAATGACTACTCATCCAGATATCTGTGTCTGCATCCAAAACAGAATATAATCTCCAGTTGAAGCTGCTCGTGTTTAAAGGATTCAGAGTTTATTAAAGGAATAAAACAAGCCTAAAAACACTCATTAAAGATCCACTTCTTTTCTGTTCTCATACAGGAAGTATTTTCAAGCAAATGTAGACTTTCCACTAATTCATTTGCTTCCTTACCTGAGTGAGTCCTGAAGTGCATTTCTAGACTTGACTTTCCTTTAAATTCTTTCTTGCAGACCTCACACTGATGCACAGCAGTTTTATACCTGAGAGGAAAAATAATCTGTCATTAACACACACAAAGGGAACGTTTACCAAACCTCCAGGCTACTCTGTAAATGAGATGCAGAGAGAAGCAAGTGACAACAACAACACCACAACACTAGAGAACAAGCCCGTGGTTTGTATAACATACTTCTGCCAGACTTTCTCTCCCAGATGAACACTTCTGTAGTGGACTGTCAGGTGATCATGGCGTCTGAAGCACTTGCCACACTCCTCACACTGGTGTGCTTTCTCACCTGTAATAGAAATGGGCACAGTTAAAATACTGTTTTTAAGTGTTTTACGCTGTACCATGTGACTCTGTGTGGAGAAAAAGCCACAAAAGTAACAAGTAAAACTAGAGAATAGCACTGCCGTCCCTTCCATGCTCACCAGAGTGTATTTTCTGATGTTTGGTCAGGTGATCGTGGCGTATGAAGGTTTTCCCACAAACATCACACTCATACCGCTTGTCATCATGGTGGACTCTGAGATGAAGCCTGTCCAAGGAACAGTTTTCTCATTAAA